CATTGCTTGAGGGGTGACGCAAGCCTGTTGCTCACCAGAGATTCCTGCTGTCTCTGGGTGAGCAAAACCCACCGACCCTCATTTGGATTGAGGGCTGTGCTGAAGGTGAGTTTGGGTTCCTCGCTCACTTGTGTGGAAAACGAAGGTGAGACCGAAACACGGGGGGAAACGGCCAGGCACGCTGCAGACAGTGCAGGCCAACGTCGCACTGCAAGAGGCATCCTTGCAGTGGCGACAGGAGTGTCCCGAACAATTGCGGTGTGCTCGAGCCCAAGCTTGCAGGTTTTCGGGGATCTGCAAGCTGAGCACAACAGGATTTTCTTCGCAGGTAGAATCAGGTAGAAAAGATTTGGCCCAACCCTGGTGGATCTGCCTGGACACAAATAACCAGAGGCATCAGTGTCGTAAAGCTCATTGACTGGTGCTACTGAGAAACCGTTGCCAAAGAACTTGCAGTAGGACTGTGGTGCGGCGCAGTGCAAGTTGAAGAGCAGCTGTTGGTGGCTGCTCCCCGGAAAACCAATAGTCCAAGAAGCCTCCTTCGGCCTCGCTCCGTGCTGAGGGTTTGTAAGGGTTGGTATTGGCCGGAAAGGATTCAGATGGAGGTTACCCGATCTTCGCGCTTTTCCCATCTGAAGGCAACCAATGGTAATCAGCCTGCTGGACATGGCAGGCCTGCTTTTGTTTACATCCACGTCTCCTGCAAGGGCTGGGGTCTGTCCGTGCACACAGACAAGGCGGAACCTTGCAGATGTTTAGGTCCTCGCGGCACGGCCGCTGGAGGTTGTTTGAAGATGTTGGCTCTCACTATCTGGTGAGTGGTTTGTATGGGCACTTGCTGGGGCAAGGCGGCTCTGGCGTCTGAGGATGGTACATGTGCTGGCTGCTGAGTACGGGCCACCGAAAGAGACCTGTGGTAAGACAAGCGATGAAAGGAGCCGAACTCCTAAACTCTAGGACAGGCTAGCTCACGCGGACGCCACGCAGAGTATGTGTCACTATCTTCAGATGTTGGAGCCAAATTGCCTAGCCTTGTGACGTGAGATGTGGTGTTTGGATTCGGCCTCAAGCACTGGAAGGCCTACAACAACAAATCCGAATGAAAACTGTGGTCCTAAGACACGCGGTGCAGCTGCTTATACGTGGCACCGCGGGGGTCACATAGAGATAGAGGGCTTGCCAGCAAGGGAACTCTGTCTAGAGAGAGCCCTGGCTCAGTGAGGAGCTGAGGGCCTGGCTGCGCAGATGCAGCGGAATGGTTGTTCGGCCTCGCCTCCGCTGAGGGAACAACAGTCAATGCTTCTCTGCAGTGTCGGTCCGGGTTAGTAAGAGCGAGAACGCCGGGACCTCGAGCTGCAGTTTTACCATGAAGCAACCGCGTGAGATGCATTATTGGTCAACTGGTGAGTAAGAGCGAGAAAGCCAGGGTGACGCTACTTTGGGGGAGGCTGCAAGGCACGGTTAGTAAGTGCGAGAAAGCCGGAGCTGCGGACGAACCTGGAGTAGCAGTCTTTCATACCTCACGTGTTTCACTTTGCGGCCTCGCATGCGCTGAGGAAATATGCCTCGAACAGAACATCCAGTGCTGAGTGGGGATTGCCAAACTTACGGAGGCTGATGCCACAACAAGTGCCTCAACAGCAATGCATGCGGAGGGCAAAGTTCGGCCTCGCGAGTGCTGAGGGTTGCAGCTGAGAGAGGGCCTAGCTGAGAACGCAACACCTCAAGCGAGGTAATTTTTAGTTTTGTTTCACCTTGACCAACGGCCCCTTCGGGTGGCTACGCCTCGCAGCGTGCAGACGTGAAAAGTCATGTCTTTTAGGTTGTCCTGCAGTTTTATGCATGCTTTTGCTGACGCTCGCTTGGTAGGAGTTGTGTAGGATGGAGTAGTTTGTAGTTTGGAAGTGTAGTTTTTCCTTAGCTTGATGGGAAGCGAACCTGAGAAACTCCTTCGTCGTTTTGCCTTTGCTTTGAAGTGTTTGAAGAAGAGCTTTGGCAGTTTGACACTCCGTTTGAAGGGTTTGGAGAACCCTGAGTTGGTAGGAGAACTTGGGAAGTGCCTCGTTTGAGTTAGGTGCTTTTGCAGTTTCACGGCGAGTGTGTTTTGCAGTACTTTGGAGACACAGAAGAACTGTGACTTTGAAGTCGTCCTCCGGCCGACCTGACTTTGGCTCAAGGCTGTGAGTAAAAAGAAGACCGCTGTGCGCTTTGCTGTGTTTTGACACACTTAGATTCTCAGTTCTTTCAAAGCTTTGGAGAACAGACAAAGACAGAAGCATCTTTCTGGATCGATCAAGGATTGTTTCCGGATTGCTGTTTTTGTTGTTAAGCGGGTGTTAAAGGCTGTAGAAAAGAGCAATGGCTTTTTGGTCAACTTTAAGCTTCCCACTTGCCCTCTTATAGACCATTCATCATAGCCCACCTTGGACAACAAGCAGAAGTTATTTAAGTTAGACCAAGTACACAATTACCTTACATTATTGTCTGATGATCAGAAAGTTGCTTTGTTGCCACGTTGCCTTACTGAGCAACTTTATCAACAATAAATGGAAAACAGCTTCGCTAAAACGGAAGTTAAGAAGGATTCTTGGCCAAACCTTCTTTTGCGCGTTGCGCTTGAAAACTGACTTGACGGTAACGTGAGAAAGATGATGTGATTTGCGTAATCATAATTTATTTTTTTTCTTTGTTGGCTTGGTTGCGTTGTTTTTTCGATAATTACAATTAATTTACCAATGTCCGTTTGGTGTCCAGTCCCTGCACAAAAATGTCGAATTTGCAAAAGTGCCCAGTGGCTTTGAAAAGTGTTTGGCTTCCTTGTAAAGAGTTAACTCGGCACAGAAGCTGAAAAAGAGTTAACTGGCACAAAAGCTGCGAAAGTTTGCTTACAGAAGTACTATTCTGTCCTGTTCACAAAAGTGCACGTTACAAAGTTTTTGCTTTACAAAAGTACAGTGCCTTTACAAAAGTGTTGTAGCAATTTGGCAGCACTAAGCCTTTACAAAGTGTTGCCCTCCGCACAAAAGCAAAAGCTCGCAAAAGTGTCCGGTCGTTGCAAAGGTTCATAAAGGCGAACCTGGTCTTCCAAGCCCTGCTTGCCCGCCTCAGCAAGTTAAGCTGCGAAACAACCAAGAAAATCAAGTTTAAGCCGTTCTGGGCGGGTCCGGCCGGACCACACATTTTTTACGTCAAGCGCAACATAACCACAAGACTGCAGCGTTCAAGGTTCAAGGTCCCTGAAATGGCCCTAAAAGAGTTGGTGTTAAATCCTTAAATCATTTTCTTTTGCAACACTCAAGAGATTTCGATCGATTCCCTGATTCCCTTAACAAGGCACTAGAGGAATGGTTGAAAGTATTGAAGAGAATACATTTTGCAATAATTATCGATTGTACATTTGTATGTGAATTGCTCAAGTGTGTTATTAAACAAAAAAGAAAGAGAGAGAGAGAGAGAGAGAGATATTTATATATGTTGAAAGAAGCATGGATGGAATTCACGGAACCGACGAACCCGTTTTGAAAAGAACAGTAAATAATCATAATTTTTCAGAATTTGCTTTGGAGCCCACAGTTCTTTTCTGAGACATCTGGTTTTCTGAATAATCAGAATAATGATGAATGGGAATGGGAAGTGACGTTTTTTGGGTTTATAGAGCCTTCCCGAACCACCTTCGCGGAGTCTCTTATGTGCACAGTGACATGTTCGGGCCCATAGCTTCCAAAACCACCTTTGTGGAAGTCTTGAGTCTGGTATTGCCATGGTCTGGTTGATCTTCCTGGCTGCTCATTAGGTTACTGTTGCCATGGTTGTTGATGTTTCGGAGTCTGAGGCGGTCCGCCAGTCAATTATTCCAGTTTTCTCGCGTCTGTGGCTTGCGTGCAGAATCCAAAGTTTTGAATTGTGGAATCAAAGTCACCCATAACAAGCAGTATGCGTTTGGGCACGCACGAATGGCTTGTAACAACGCAGACAAACAAGCGGGTTCTCCGGGGGCGGTGCTGCAGCCTTGGAATTTTGGGTGTGGAGGGAAGTGCTGGAGAAGCCTGCAGCCCTTGTTTTTGGGTGAGGTGGAAAGCGCAAATGCCAGGTCGGCCGTGCCGCAGCCCAGTGATGCTAATGAGGTATGGATCAAAGACCGTGGACAGGCTGTGATAGGTTAGAATGTGGTGCTGCTATGCTCCGTAGACGCAGAGCTGCGGAGGGACATCTGCGTCACGACGAGAATGTGTTTCCTCCATAGGTGCAAGCTCAGTACAGTCGAGCAGCAAGCCAATGGCTAGTAGAAGGGGAAGAGGGGTTATAAAGTGCATAGTTCTAGATTTGGTGTGGGGTACACACATATAAGGTCTTTGGATCTAATCCTGCTTAGGCACAGGCCAAATGATAGTGCTGCGAATCAAGCTGCGTGTTGAGAATATAAGCATACTCTGAAGTCCTTGCCACATCTTAGGAGTGAGACTTTTTTCAAACCCTACGAGACTAGTGGAGGTGGTGGGTCTCAGGGGTGCGAGTGGTGGAAAGCGGTGGAAGCGGTGGGGGCTGGTGGGGGTGGTGGTGCTGGGTTTTTGGGCGTGGTGTGCTGAACTCATAAATAGTTCGGCAACTGCTAGCCTCGTCCGAGCAACCTCCCGTTCTGCCGAGATATCAGAACCCAGGTATGTGCCGGGAGATCAGAGATCAAAGTTGGGAGCCATGGGCTACGAATGGCTTTAGGGTTTAAGGTTTAAGGTTTCGGGCCACTACTATCCTCATTTGGCGTACTAACTCTAGCTACGGGAATTTACAGGCTCAAGGTGGCGCCGTCTGCAGGGTTCAGGGTTTGTGTGGCTTCGATGCAGCTCTCTTGGGCCCAACTTATTGGCTAACCAAGGCAACGTCAGCGTGGAGCCAAGCTCCAGATTCAATTGCCAACAGCCAGTAACGCAGAACTATCAAGCACCGCTCTTGCATCGCCAGTCAGATTTCCGACGCGCGATCTTTGTCATACAGCAGACGCGATGCACAGAATGGCCGTGCAGATGATGCCGTGGAGGCATACGTCTGTTCGGCACGCATTCCTGCAAACCGCTCGAGGACCTCTTCATGGAACAAAGCTTCGTGGGTTTTCGTCAGCATCGGTGAGCACCACGTCAGTGATGGACTTGTATCAGTCCCAGGTGCCTTTGTTCATCAAACCGTTTTTGGGAACCATGATTATGCCGATCTTAGCTTTGAGAAAGCCATCTATACGAACGCCCCAAACCCGGAACCCTAAACCCTAAACCCCGAAAACATGGATGCCGGCATTCATAGCTTTGTGAGCATGGTGTTCTCTGTATCTGGGTCTAGGGTTTACAGTCTAGAGTTTAGGTTTTTGCTTGGATGCTTTCAGTTGTGCTACTTTCCAAACCCTACCCTAGTCAGAGGGTTTGGCACCGTGAAACAGGGATTAGAGAGCTTCAATCTCAGCACGTCAGCGTGCAAATCAAAAACCGGGCCCGCGAACCCTGAGCCTTAAACTCTCCACCCCTGAACTCCTCGTAACTTTCAAGTTGACCTGAACCGTGAAGCTCTAAGTCGACCCCAAACCCTAGCCTTTAAGCTTCAACCCCTAAGCCCTCAGCCCTAAGCCCTAAGCCCTAAACCCTAAACCCTAAACCCTAAACCCTAAACCCTAAACCCTAATTTAAACCCTAAACCCTAAACCCTAAACCCTAAACCCTAAACCCTGAGTCTGCAGGTGGACCGCGGGGCTTGCCGTTACAATGCTGCGCAGCTGCCCTGCCTGGAGCGCCTCGACATGCTGCACCGGGAGCTTAGCGCGCCGAACCGCGCCCCACCCAGAGGCCGCAGCCCCAAATCCAGACCCTAAACCCTAAACCCTAAACCCTAAACCCTAAACCCTAAACCCTAAACCCTAAACCCTAAACCCTAAACCCTAAACCCTAAACCCTAAACCCTCAACCCTAAACCCTAAATCCTAAACCCTAAACCCCAAACCCTAAACCCCAAACCCTAAACCCTAAACCCCAAACCCCAAACCCTAAACAAACCCTTCAAGGCATCTACATCTATGGCGAACCAGGGGCTGGCAAGACGATGATGATGGACATGCCCCCTGCTTAGAGTTGAACGTTTTAGGGTTTAGGGTTTAGGGTTTAGGGTTTAGGGTTTAGGGTTGGTGGGTCCTAGGGTTTAGGGTTTAGGGTTTAGGGTTTAGGGTTTAGGGTTTAGGGTTTAGGGTTTAGGGTTGAGGGTAAAGGCCCCAACCCAAAAGAACCCAAGCCAAAAACCCCAAACCCCAAACCTCAAACCTCAAACCTTAAACCCTTCCAGGGTTCAGGGCTGAAGGGTGAGGGTTCAGGATTTCGCCCGGGTTTCTGGTCTTAAGGTTATGGGTTCAAAGTTCTCAGCCCTGCAGCCGAACAACCCTTAAGCCTTGAAGACCCTAAGCCCCTAGGATCCTAAACCGCAAGACTCGAAACCCTTAAACCCTAAACCCTAAACCCTAAACCCTAAACCCTAAACCCTAAACCCTAAACCCTAAACCCTAAAACCGTAAACCCTCAAAACCTACACCCTGTAGATCTCAGGGTTCAGGTTTCCTTCGACGTGATCCCCTGCATGAAGCCATGGGCCAAAAAAGAGAAATCTTAAGCCCCAACAACTAAAGTAACCTTAAAAAAGGTTGGGGTTTAGGGTTTGGGGTTTAGGGTTTAGGGGTAAAACCTTGAACCCTAGACCCTATAACGTTCTAAGCGTGCAAGCTCAGGTTCTACTCCCTGGCCAGCAAGCAGGGTGTGGCAAGCCACCGGGCACACTTCCATGACTTCATGCTGGACATGAACAAAAGCCTGCGCTTGGGACGTTCATTTGGAGGGTTTAGGGTTTAGGATATAGGGTGTAGGGTTTAGGGTTTAAGGTTTACGGCGTCGATTCCGAAGCCAATGGGATCATATGACCTCTCAGGAACAGTTAAACCATGCAGGGTTTAGGGTTGAGAGGGCTTAGGGTTTAGTGCCAACTCAGGCATCGGATCCGGAAGGACGTCGGGAAGATGGCAGATCCCTTGGCTTTGGTGGCGCAGGAGTTCGTTTCCTCCACGCCTCTGCTGTGCTTCGATGAGTGTCACGTCCTAAACGTGGGCGATGCATTGCTGATGTGCTCCTTCTTCAAGCACCTCTTCAAGGCTGGCGAGAGAAGTGGGGCTAAGGGTTCAAGGTTTAGAGTTTAGGGTAGGCAGATCCCTAAAAGCAAGAGACGAGAGCTATTCGGAGGCCGGCGGCACGGTCGTCGCCACGTCCAATCTGGCCCCCGAAGAGCTCTACTCCTCGGGCATCAACCGGGAGGTTTTTCAGCCTTTCATTGACGCCATGCTGGCACCTCGACCTACCAACAGCCTGTAGAGCTCCGATGACGGAGTTCCAGAAAACACTCCCCCCCCTCCCAAAAGAAAAAAACATCCTTAAACCCTCACCCAGGTTTCTACCCTCAAGCCCTCAACTCCTGAAACGCTGGGTTCAGGGTAGGGTTAAATTCCTCGCTAGACCCTAAACCCCCCCCACTTCAAAAAGAAAAAAAGAGCGAAGGACGCCTTCCCTAAAACCCTAGACCCCTAAAACCCTCAAACCCTAAACCCAAAACCCCAAAACCCTGACACCCTAAACCCTAGAACCCTAAAACCCTGAACCCTAAACCCTAAACCCTAAATCCCAGGATCACTGTGACCCCGTGCGTCTGGTGGTGGGCGAAGACTTCCGGGCAACCAAATCGGCGCAACTCGCGGCCTCGGATGGAGACTGGGGCTTGCGGTTGGGTTTAGGGTTTAGGGTTTAGGGTTTAGGGTTTAGGGTTTAGGGTTTAGGGTTTAGGGTTTAGGGTTTAGGGTTTAGGGTTTAGGGTTTAGGGTTCCTAGGCTTCCGAAACCCTAAACCCTACCTAAACCCTAAACCCTAAAATTTATACACCCTAATCCCTGAACCTGAAAATTTATACACCCTAATCCCTGAACCCTAAAGTTAGGACACCCTAAACCCTAAACCCTACAGTTTCTACACCATGACCCTGAACCCTAAAGCTAAAGTATATACACCCTAAACCTAAACCCTTACGTTTTTACACCCGAAACCCTAAACCCTAAACCCTAAACCCTAAATCCTAAACCCTAAACCCTAAACCCTAAACCCTAAACCCTAAACCCTAAACCCTAAACCCTAAAAGGAGACCGTGCCTTCTTCTGGCCTCTGGGCCCTGAGACGGACCTGCGCCTCGTGGAGAGGTGGGGGTTAGGGTTTAGGGTTTAGGGTTTAGGGTTTAGGGTTCAGGGTTCAGGGTTCAGGGTTTAGGGTCAGAGCCTCCACCCCTGAATCCTATGAAGAACTAAACCCTCAAACGCCCCAAGTGCCGAACCCCCAAGCCGCAAGGTTTTGGTGGCCGAAGTTGAAATTCAGGACTCCCCTAAAGTGCCTAACCCCTAGACGCTTTAAACCGCCTAATCTCCAAACCCTCCTGCAAGGGTTCCAGGGTGCAGGGCAGGGTTCCAGGGTTTTGAGGGATTTAGGGTTTTGGGGGTTTAAGGTTTCTGGTGGAGGGTTTGGGGTTTAGGGAGGGTTTAGGGTTTAGGGTTTAGGGTTTAGGGTTTAGGGTTTAGGGTTTAGGGTTTAGGGTTTAGGGAGGGTTTAGGGAATGCAGGTTGGAGAGCATCCTTGGAAGTTGCCCGGGTCCGCGGCCCGAGTGCCTCCCTGTGCCTATGGGGCGCACCTTGCAGTGCAGTCGCGACTGGGGCCTTGTTTATGGTGTTTAGGGGTTTTTGGGTCCTAAACCCAAAACCCTACACCCTAAACCCTAAACCCTGAACCCGAACCCCTAAACCCTAAAACCCTAAACCCTACACCATGAGCCCGAAACCCCGTTAACCCCAAAAAAGATCCGAGCCCCTGCCTCGGAAGATTCCCGAAGCCCTGAACCCGAAACCCTGAAAGCCCTGAGAGCAAACGCCCGACCCTAGGTCCCTAAACCCCCCTCTCAACCCACTAAAGACCCTAGACCCTAAACCCTAGACCCTAAACCCGAAACCCTAAACCCTGAACGCTAAACTACCTAAGCCCTAAACCCTAAACCCTAAGCCCTAAACCCTAAACCCCCCCTAAACCGTAAACCCTAAACCCTAAACCCTAAACCCTAAACCCTAAACCCTAAACCATACCTAAGCCCTAAGCCTTAAACTCGAAGCCCTACAGCTTTCAAAGGAGTGTGGCGAGGGACAGAGGCGGCCGCCGCCGACTTCTCCTTCGAGGAGCTCTGTGTGGCGGCTGTAGGCACTCATGATTACATTGCTTCTCGGCATGTGGGGTTTAGGGTTTAGGGTTTAGGGTTAGGGTTGCGGTTTTCGGGTTTAGCGTTTAGGGTTTCGGATGTTGGGGTTTAGGGTTTAGGGTTTAGGGCGTAGGGCTTCGGGTTCAGGGCGTTGCCTTGCATCTCGGCGCAGGACAGCCTAAACCCATCCTAACCCAAAAAGCTTCACCCTAGACCTCAACCCTCAACTCCTCAATCCTAGACCCCTAAACCCTAAACCCTAAACCCTAAACCCTAAACCCTAAACCCTAAACCCTAAACCCTAAACCCTAAACCCCAAACCCTACAGCCTTAACGTTGAGGCTCTCTGTGAAGCTTTTGATGTCATCGTGGTCCGGAGCGTGCCCCGCTTTGCTTCCACAGACGAGAACGCTGCACGACGATTCGCTTCCTTGGTCGACGTGATGTCTCTTGGGAGAACGGGTTTAGGGAACCACCCTAAACCCTAAACCCTAAACCCTAAACCCTAAACCCTAAACCCTAAGCCCTAAACCCTAAACCCTCAACCCCAAACCCTAAACCCTGAACCCTAAACTCTACACCCTAAACCCAGCGCTAGGCCCCATTTAGCCCAGTTTAGGGTTTCGGGTTTAGGTTTTGGTGTGCTTTCTGAAGAAGCTCCAGGTCTTAGGTTTCGGGTTTCCAGGTCTTCAAAAACTAGATCCCTAAACCCTAAACCCTAAACCCTAAACCCTAAACCCTAAACCCTAAACCCTAACCCCTCAACCCTCAAGCCTAAAACCCCCTTTTCTACTCAGAAGAAGCGACAAGAGGAGAGCCTGAGGTACGACCGGCAGAAGCGCCTACTTTGCACCATCGACGCTCCCCCGGGTGAGCTCTTTGCATCCATCCGGGAGCAGTACAGTGGGGGTGCGGAGGACCAGGCTTTTGGGCAAGGATGTAGGGTTTAGGGTTTAGGGTTTAGGGTTTAGGGATGAGGGTTTAGGGTTTAGGGTGCAAGGCCTCAAGCTCTTTTCAGGGCTTATAGGGCTTAGGGGCTTAAATAGGACGATCGCGGCGCTTCTGTTCGCATGCCCTCGCATGGTGGCTCCAGCGGTAAGCATGTGGCCCAGTTCCGCCTGCCTCAGTCGGTGCGCTACACGGACAGCGGGGGCTACAGCGTCGTCAAGGGAAATGAGGCCCAAAGAAGGGCCACAAACCCTAAAGCCCACTCTTCGCCCCCAAGCTCACAATGAACTGTTTGACTTCGTATGCAAGATGCAGTTGATGCGGGGCAAATCGTTGGAACACATGGCCACATACTTGCCTGAGACCAGCCCGAAGTCTTCTTACAAAACCTTAAAACCCTCAGCCCCCCCCCCCCCCCCCCCCCCCCCCCGCAAATGCTGAGCTTAAGTCTTAAACCCTAGCCCTTCGCCCTTTATTCCATTCCGACGTGAGTTCAGAATTTTTCCGTAATCCCCAAACCCCGAAAGTTCTTAAACCCAAGAAAGCCCTCAGCCCTAAGACCCTCAACACCCTTAACACCCTTAAAGCCCTTGAAGCCCTGAAAGCCCTTAAGGCCCTTCCCCCCCGACCCCAAGCCCTTAAACCTTCGAGCCCATAAACTGGCACCAAGCCCTCCACCCTAAACCTAAGTCCCCTAACCCTAAGCCCTAAACCCTTCAATCACTTAGAGCCCTTAAAGCCTTAAGCCCCTAAACCCTAAACCCCAAACCCTAAACCCTGAACCCGAAGCCCTAAACCCCAAACCCCCAACCCCAAACCCTAAACCCGAGCCGCCCAGGCCCCACCCAAGTCGCAGGGCGACGTGGACCAGGGTTGGGTGGAGTGGTCGGCAACGGGGCTGAAGGACCCCACCCTGGTCTAAGGGTCGTTACACGGTCCCTGGTTTAGGGTTTTTGGGTTTAGGGGTTTAGGGTTTGGGGTTTGGGTGGGTTGGGAGTTCCTTTCGGCCGATAGGGTTTGGGGCTTTAGGTGTTTTGGGGGGTTTGGTTTAGGGCTTCGAGTTTGGGCTTTAGGGGGGGTTTAGCATTTAGGGTTTAGGGATGTTTAGGGTTAGGGGTAAAACTTGGGGCTTTGAGGGCTTCGAGGTTTTTTTTTGGGGGATTCTGAGGGCTGTTTGTTTTTTGAGCAGACGGACAGGATGCCTCGATGTTCGACCTCACCTGCCACACCAAGATGCAGCAGCACGACCGTCTCCTCCCCTTGCTCCGGTGCGAGTCCAGACTGGAGGATCAAGGGGCTAAAGGAGGGAGGGATCCTTATAAGGGACGCGTAGGGGGTTCTATTTAGGGGTTCTATTTAGGTACATGGAGGTATTTCTAGGGGGTTATATATGGGTTATAGGGGAGTAAGATCCCTCCCTCCTTATACCCCTGAAGAGGAGATGTCCTACATCCAGCTTGGGGGCCTGTCGCAGTGAGAAGCCTGCTTTTCGTCCTCGTTTTCCCCGAGGCGACCCGAGTGCACAGACCTTACAGCAGAAGTGGCGCCTCGATGTGCTTTGAACAGATGGCTTTCTGAGACCTTTCCTGAGAGCCGAATTCGGCGCTTCCTGTGGCGCCCTTTCCGTCAGGTCCCAAAAGGGAACCTTCTTTCGCGCTGCTGGCCGAGGCATTTTGCTGCGGACTTCTCACGCTGCGCTAGGAAAGAACTAGCAACGGCGTCTCAAACGTGGGACGGGGGCTTGCGAAGTTCAAAACGATATGGCGCCCGGTTGAGTATCTGGAGCCCCCCCACCCCCCCCGGCCCCCCAGACAATTTTCGCGAGATTCGGATGCCCTCTTTTATGCGGGCACAGGGGTTTACGGGTTGGGGTTTAGGGGTTGAGGGGTTTATGGGCCGAGGGTAGTGGGGTTTAGGGGCCGAGGGTTGAGGGGTCCAGTTGTTTTTGTTTGTTTCTCGCGGATCCCCGAGTCGCGAGCTTCGCATACTTGCGGGTAACCCATATGTTTAGGGTTTAGGGTTTAGGGTTTAGGGTTTAGGGTTTAAGGTTTAGGGTTTAGGGTTTAGGGACTTAATGTGCTGAGATGACTTGTTCACACTACGGCGTTCAGCTGACCAATGCTGCACCCTAGGCCCTAAAGGCCCTAAACCCTAGGCCCCCAGCCCGAAAGTCCAAACCCGAACCCTAACCTTAAACCCTAAACCCTAAACCCTAAACTCTAAACCCTAAACCCTAAACCCGAGACCCGAAACCACGAACGACCCCAAAGCCTTGATACATGTGGACCCTAGACGGTTTTCGGGGCTTTCGGTTTTTTGGGTCTTTAGGGCTTTTGGGGCTTTTTTAGGGGCTTTGCGGTTTTTTGGGGCTTTTAGGGATTCAGGGTCTTCGGGCCTTCGGGTTGGGTTTTTGGGTTTAGGGTTTAGGGTTTAGGGTTTAGGGTTTAGGGTTTAGGTATGGCAGCTTGCACGTTGCAAAGATCTCAAAAACTGTCACTGCAGCTTTTGCAACGCCTGGCCACTGCGTCGAAGCTCGGCACCGACTCCTTGCCATTTCAGCGAAGATGGCCGTGGCGACTCGGTGAAGTTTTAATTTCATCAGAAGCCCTAGGCCCTCAACCAGGGTTTAGGGTTTAGGGTTTAGGGTTTAGGGTTTCCTGAACGCCAAACAAGGCTCCAATCTGTAGGGCTGCGGGAGGCAACGTGTGTAAGTGATTTCTTGTAAACGCTTGCGCGCGCCGCCTCGGCAGCCGGACCGGCCCAAGACAGGAAAGGAGGAAAGAGGGTTTCTGCAACAACAGGGGAGGAAGGGTCCAGGTCCGGGGGTCGTCGGGAGGTTTAAGGGGTTTAAAGGTGTTTGAAGGGTCCAGGTAAGCGGGTGGGGCTGGTTTTTGTGTGTTTTCCCTGTAGGCCGCCGACAGGCGGGACCCTCCACGGCATCGGTTTGTATCTCCAAGCGATGGGGGGGGGGTCCCACAGGGGGGGGGGGGGGTCCGCCGCAAAATTTTGGGTTGGGTTGGGGGGAAGGAGGCCCGATCCGGGTCTGCTTGCTCCAGACGTCTTGGCAGGAAGCGGAGGCGAACCTCAGACACTTTCTTGTGTCAGATTCTCTGAGCACCGGAGCATTTTCGGGTCCTCCGCCCTGCCGCCTAAACCCTAAACCCTGAACCCTAAACCCTAAACCCTTAACCCTAAGCCCTGGACCCTTAATCCTGAGGTCGAAGAACCCAATGACTGGCACGGCTACGTCAGCGCCGCCTACACTCGAGCAGGCTTCTGCAGCGAGAAGTCCAAGGCGCGGGAAATCGGGACCTTCAGGATTTGGGGCTTGGGGTTTTGGGTTTGGGGTTTAGGGTTTCGGGTTTGGGGTTTAGGGTTCAGGGTGAGGGGTTGAGTGGGGCGCGGGATTCTGCTACATTCTCGGAGCCTTCCATTGCTGCCAGGAGTTCTACAATGAGACGGCTGAGATCTACGACAAGTTGGCCAGTCCCGATGTGCCTTGATCGTCAAGACCCAAAGCCCAAAACCCTAAACCCTAAACGCAAAACCCTACATTTTAGGGTTTAGGGTTTAGGGTTTGCTGTGAGGGCGTAGATGCTGTGAAGGTTAGGTTTCGGAACAAGCTCGAAAGCTTCGTGAGGTGCGAAAGCAGCATTGGCCCGATTGTGGAGGGCCATCTAACACTTTTCTCCCACAAGGCGGCAAAGTCACCCAAACCTATTCCTTTTAGGGTTTAAGCCTAAACTCAGACAACAGCCCACTCAAGTTTCAGAGGGGCGGGCTCGGCCAGGCACCCAGTCAGGGACCAGCCGGCTGTGGGTGGGGCGCCTAAGGCTTAGGCGGGCCAGGCCAGGGGACAAGGGGGGGTCAGGGGGGGGCCAGGAGGTCCAGGAAATCAGGGGGGGCCAGGGGGCGGCGAGGGGCCTGGGGGTAACCTCTCAAGAATGCCAGCCAGCTTCTGGCACAACAAGGCTTGGGGTTGAGGGTAATTACTTTATTTTTAGGGACCAGTACTGGTCTCGAGGAGAACGTGTTCCGGTACCGGGCCCATCGTGGGTGCTACCGACCCCCATGCTGTGAGAGCGGGCGAGCGACCTGGTCGGCTTGAGGTCAAAGGGCTTAAGCGCCGCCCCCAACGTAGGGGGGCGGCTAGGGTTTAGGGTTTAACCCCTAAACCGGTAGTTTTCTAGAAGCGGCAGAATTTGCATAAGCCGCAGAAGTCTTTGTGGTTTCCGGTTCTTTGTGGGTGCAGAAGGCTGATATGGGGCTTATGGTCTTTAACGCCAAACCCCGAACCCTAAACCCTAAACCCTGTCAAGCCCCAAACCCTAAGTCCCAAACCCCAAGCCCCAAGTCCCAAGCCCCAAACCCCAAACCCGAAACCCCAAACCCCAAACCCCAAACCCCAAACCCTAAACCCTAAACCCTAAACCCTGAACCCTGAACAGGTGTGGCTGGCTCCACAGGTGGTGTCCGAGCACGCGCTGGCGCTGACGGCGTGGGGAGCTTGGCTGTGGGGTGGCTCATAGGGGGATTTGCAGGGTCCTACGGTTTAGGGTTTACGGCTCGGGTTTAGGGTTTAGGGTTTAGGGTTTAGGGTTGCACCCCATATTCTTGCTGAGCGTTTTGGGAGGAGTCAGAGATACTGTGCTCGTAACGCATCGAAATCGCAGGCAGGGGAAGCTGTGAATCTGTCAACTGGCAGCACTCCCGTTCCTGCCCCGCCGCTCAAGTCAGCAGTCATGCACATAGTTCGAAAAGTTATGGCTCCCTGCGCTGAGTGGGTTCATGACGAGTTACCGATCACGTGCTAGCCGGCTACGATCGCGCTCAAGGCGCCAGCAGTGGCTTCAGTGGAGATCCCAACAACATGCACTTGTTCCTGAAGACCGCTTGTGGTTGATGTATCAGCTAGCCGTGCAGTTTTGGGGCCTCGTCAAGCCTTCGGCTGTAATGGACTCCGGCATTAGCAACGTACAAAGCAGACAGCGTGACATTTTTCCTTTGGCTCCACTTGGCATCTACGAGCACAAGCTGCCGGAGTGGGATAGCCAACGATGGGGAGTGTTGCGGTGTTTTGCAAATGCTGTGATTGGGGCTCTGAACTGGTGCTATGGTTGCAAGCTTGTTCCGGATCGCCGGCCTCATAGAACTGCTGCGCAGAGTGATGTGGTGCATCGGGTTGTGGCTCGTAGCGTGGAGTTTTATGGGCGCCTACAAAAGTCACAGTCTGGCTCTTGGGATTCGTTCACGCCTGATTGGGTGCCTCTGCCTAGTCGCCCCTTAGGGCCCAAGTACGGCGACCTCCGCGCTGAAGCAGTGGATGTTTTGCCACAAGCGGGCGTTTGTGACCCAACACCGTGCCTACCAGAGCATGTGCAACAGATCGTGAAAGATGAGGTTTCTATGTTTTCTGGAGCACCTGATGGGCTCGCAAAGTTTTCAAGCATGGCTCCGGAGGACAAGGCGGAGTACGTCAAGCTTGTCGTGAGGCAGTTGCGGGCCAAGCAGCTGGGGTTAACAGAACGGGCGAAGGGTGGTGGCGCTGTCATTGCTGTGGGAAAGCCGGGTGGTCAACGCCAACGGGCAGTGTGGCACGGACGTCGTGTCTCTGCAGCTGCCGTCCGACCACCGAAGCCACGGCATCTTGCATCACCAACTGCTTTGACTTTTCTGGAGTGTGGCCCTGGGAAGAGACTGCGATGTAGCAAGAGGGACGCCAGTTGCTGGTTTGATCAACTTCGCTTGCCGACGGAGCTGCAACGCTGGATGGGCAGACCGCGCGTGAGTTTGCGTGACCTGTGCAGCATCGGCGGCATGACAGTCGAGGAGGTCCAGACCTGCTTGTTGCCAGGGGAAAGCCATCAAGCCGCATGGTTTCACCCAGTCAGTCTTACGTGGCCCATGGGGTTTGCTTGGAGCTCCTATATCGCGCAGGAGTTCCTCTTGAACACCTGCCATGATGCAGGACTGCGGGAGTCACAGGTTTTGTCCTGTGAAGCGACCACCCCCTTGTCCTTCAGTTTGGTGTTTGCGGCAGCTACCGATGACGTGATGATCTTCAGTGACGAAGGCGAAGGTCACACTTTGAAAGCTGCGCGGCAGCTTGATGCAGAGATGAGCAGGCGCGGGGCCATTCGAAATACAGCCAAAGATGTGGACGATGAGCTCTGTGCAACTTGCGTTGGTGTGTCGCTCGAAGATGGCACGCATCTGGGAGTTCCTCCAGCTCGATGCTTGTCCATGATTGTTACTGTGCTGTATCTACTCGAATCCCAGAACGCATCTCCAAAGCAGTTGCACCAACAACTGGGGGTTCAGCAATGGTTCGACTTATTACAACGCTGCAAGTTGTCCGTGTATGACCAGGTTTACGCCTTTGTCAGAGACCCTCAAGACACACGCGTGCGGCTGCTCCCCAAGGCTGTGATGCTCGAGCTGGCCGTGGGCATGTTGCTGAGCGTTTTCTGGCGTTTG